TTTCGCTTCAGGTATGGCTGCTTTATTTTTTACACCCCCCCCCCCCCCCGGAGCCCCGCCACTCAACAATTTTTTTTATTAATAGTTCAGAGAGACCCCCAAAAATGCTATCAAGAATCAAGCTTCATACATGACGTTTGAACTCTGGTAAAAAATGTTAAATTTGTTCGGAGGCGACCATTGTATTAGTCAATATATGGGTACGGTGAAGGACTGTTGTTTAAATTCCGGTAGGTAGGGCGCAGGAATGTCTGTAGGACTATTGTTTAAAGGCCGGCAAGTAGCGTGGAGGACTGCCTGTAGGACTATTGTTTAAAGGCCGGCAAGCAGCGTGGAGGACTGTCTGTAGGACTATTGTTTAAAGGCCGGCAAGTAGCGTGGAGGACTGTCTGTAGGACTATTGTTTAAAGGCCAGCAAGTAGCGTGGAGGACTGCCTGAAGGGCTGTTCTTTAAAGACCGACAGGTAGGTTTAAAATATGTCATTACTTCAGCTTTAAAATAGTGGGGATGTCTAAATTACTTTATCTGTCAAATATTATGTGTCTGGACTATTTAATTTTAAAACCAGTATACGTTTTATTTAATTAATCTTGAAAATATGATATGTCTAACATACTTAATCTTTAAAATATTATTTTATTAAATTACTTAATATATGGTTTAAAAATAAGCCACAGTTAAATACTTTAAAAATGGAGTTTCCGGATCGAGGTTTGAGACTCACTTGAGGGGGTGCCCCTGTTGTTTATGGGGTTGTTTACAAGTCGTCCCCATCCCATTAAGTGCAAAGGGTTGGTTACATGGTTGGGGGGGGGGGGGTNGTACGCATGCCATCATCTGCTGTCGGTGTGAGCGAGATTTAAAGTGGTGACGAACTAAAAGGAGGGGGGGGGGAACGGTCATGGCCACACATTAATTGCGTATCGATGGTTGGTCGAAGCCCTTCCCACGTGACAGCGAGTTGAATTTCTTGCGTGTTTTAACCTGTAGTTTAGCCCCGACAGAAATGTATTCGGACCACTCCAGAGCTCTCTGAGTGTGTCGAGTGCAAACGTTCTGGGTGTAAAGAGATTCCCAACTTACACCAGAGACAGTATTGTATTTTTGTTAAAGTGTTATATAAAGCACCATTCTTGTTTCCTATAAAATTTCTTTTTTTTAAAATAATCTCATATATAAAACATCATTCTGTTTCCTGTCAGACACTTTTTAAAAAAAAAAATCTCTTATATAACGTATCTTTCTGTTTCCTATGAAACAATTTTTTTTATAATCTCTAATATAAAGCATCATTCTGTTTCCTATAAAACACTTTTTTTATAATCTCTAATATTCTGTTTACTTTAAAACAATGTGTTAAAACTCTTATAGAAAGCGCCATTCTATTTCCTGTAAAAAGAATTTTTTTGGACTAAGTCGCTTGTCATTCAATGCAGCCATCAAGGTTGTGGCGGTCACTGTTGAAACTAATCATTTCTTCTTCTTCTCTATTTTGAGGGCCCCACGATCAACGTGTTGATCATTCTGGCTCCTATGTTTCATTTTAACAGAATTATTGATGATGATGATATAATGAACAGCACTCTTGAAGGCCCTCCATCTATTCTAGTTTATTTCAATAGATTCCAAACCAAAATAAAAATTGCAACATTCTTGAAGTGAACTGAAATAATAACTGTAAAATTATAAGCTGAAGTTATCACGTGATATATACAGAGATTTTATTGTCATTTGCTCACAGTTTTTTCGTCTTTTTTTTAAAAACTATCTTCCTAGCACTTCAGAAATGCAGAGATATCTCTGCTACCAGCGAGATACCCCACTCTTCTTGAACAAGTGAACGTATTACTGCCACGGCCCAGCTCACTTTCCGGGTAGGCTGGGGTTGCCGCATAGGCACGCGTCACCGCCGATCTGGATGGAGCACAGCAAGTCACAGATGTCTGTCGTGCTCGGCGGCGGTTTCTGTGTTGTGGCGGCGAAGGGCTGGACACTCAGGTACTTGTCATCAGGCCCCATGTCTAATAATAGGTCATACTTGGGGGGCATATTTTCTGGAGAAAAAAAATACATATATGTATTTTCTTTTTTTTAATTTATTTTTTTTGAAGTGTGTTTAATTTTTGTGAACCAAAAATGTTTGTGTTTAAAAAAAATAATATTATTCATTGACTTAACTCTAATGTTTGTGACTGGTAAAATTTTTAAATAATGTATCGAGTCTATCTTGTGTATCTAGTCTATCTTGTGTATCTAGTCTATCTTGTGTGGAATCATGCATTACAAAAAAAAATGGAATATTTAAAAAATCAAACTTTGATTTTCCTTTTTCTTAAATCACCGCGAAGATCGTTTCAAAATGGCGGACAATGTCAACCCATTGAATTATCGTAGACATATTTCCCGACCTAGCAGGCGTTATCTCTATTTATAACTATTTTTTTTTAAATTTAAACAACCCTTAAAACCAATTTTTTTGTAAAACACTTTCTATGCATTTTTAAAATTATTGTATTTAATCTTAATATTCTAAATTTCCATCCTCTTTTACACCGTATATTTATGTCACCAACTATTTCAGAAAAACAAAATAAAATATTACGCACCAAACGCACTTGCGATATATGTTTTAAAAATAATCTCTAATACGCAGCTATCAGGCATTTTATTTCATGTAATCAGTGTCATCATATTTCCCCCACCTTCCTTGAAAAACAGGAAAAACTTATTTTTGGGGGTGGGGGCTTTGAGTTTTGGGCTGAAAATTTAAAAGAGTGTGTTGTTATTGACAAGGAGCCTATGTGCGAATTTTCAGCTCGTTAGGTTAACGGGAAATGGGTCAATTAGCCGTCCAAAGATTTTGCCCTAAACACGCAAAAGCGAGGTTTAATATGAATGATTTAAAAAGCGATAATTTCAAATAAAATAACCAGGTGGGTGTAGTCAGGGCCGGCGCCAGAGTATTTGGCACCCTAGGCGAACCTGTCACACTGCGCCCCCCACGCCCATGGCAACAAATTAATTATGCCGCCTAGTTCGCCTAACGGTTAAACCGGGCCTGGGTGAATTCTGTGTGGATGCGCGAAGTCCCTTTATAAGGTGCGAGTTTTAAAAAAAAAAAAAAATTGGGGGTGGAAAAAGTGAAACATTAGGGGGGCGCACATACCGTTCAGGCACCCGCACATAATTATGCCGCCTAGTTCGCCTAACGGTTAAACTGGGCCTGGGTGAATTCTGTGTGGATGCGCGAAGTCCCTTTATAAGGTGCGAGTTTTAAAAAAAAAAAAAAAATTGGGGGTGGAAAAAGTGAAACATTAGGGGGGCGTACATACCGTTCAGGCACCCGCACATGACCTGGAACAACTGGCTGACCTCCTCGGTTTGTTGCTGCGGCACATCACAGGCGTAGTGACAGAAGGAATGGGCCCGGCAGGTCCCCACCGACGCCAGATACGCTACGAGTAGGCCGAAATTGAGCCACTGCGACATTCTGGAACATGGCCAGGTACAAACTGTTCATTTTAAAGTCAATACTGGTGCTGTTAGACATTACACGCACACACATATAATATATTAAAAGTTCACTTTTTTGGGGGGGCCGCCACTGCTCAATCCCCACTCCTCTTTTTTTTGTCTTTTATTTTTCTGCGCAACATTAAGAGATGTCATTACGAGAATTGACGTCATCGTCAGTGCACCTGACCTTCATTCAGCCGCCACTCGAGTCGGATCAAGAAACTAAGAAGTGCATTGCTTCCTGTCCAATAAAGCAATTAAAACGTCGTGCAGCGCTTCCCAAACTTTTGGCCCGACGGTACCGGCAGGCAGTTACTTATCCCTATCGCAGCTGAAACGAGTGAGCGACTTCTTTTATTATTTGAAAAGTCTTCGATCTTCATTAAAGTGGTCATTATTTTTGTGTGCGAATTGACGGCTGTTGGGGCTCGATAAGCAGCTGCGGTCCGAGATCCAGCTCATTGAGAAGCGCTGGAGTATTAAAGTATTGTTAAGTGCTATCATAAATTTAAAAAAAAAATATATATATATTAACATTTTTAAATATTGTACTCTGCTTAAGATTACACTTTTGTTACACTAGGCAATAACGTTGTATCTACTTAGTGCGCATAGGAGAAGTGTGGACAATAATGTGAAGGATAGAAACAGCAGCCTGGAAACGACTCCGTGGACTGGAGAATAGAAATACGTTTTGTCATTCTTGAAAAGGACATAAGTCGCGACATGATATGGGTCGCGACATAACATGGGTTGTGACATGACATGAGTCGTGACATGACATATAAAATTTTTTTTTTTTAAAAGTCAACTCCACCCTTGGTTTCATCCGAAGAAATTTGCGCCACTGCCCAACTTCCTGCAAACGGAATGCCTATCTCACACTCGTCCGTCCACTACGGGAATATGGTGCGATCATCTGGTACCCACACCTTAAGCAAGACGTGGACACGATGGAGCGAATTCAACGAAACGCGGTGCGTTTTATATCTCGCGACTACAAATCCACCACTCCTGGCTTCGTCACGGGCCGCTTAAAAAGATTTGACATTCCCCCCCCCCCTCCTTAAAGACAGACAAGAGGGACTCCGCCTGACATTCTTATATAAAGTGATCATGGGACTGGTGCCGGCCATCCCAACAGGCACATACCTCACCCCACAGAAGCTGGGTAGACTGATCAGAGCAAAACGCTTTCTGGTCACTGATTTCACCACTGACATTCCCATAAATAATTACACCAGAAACAATAGCAAATGCTTCAAAGTGCCTCAGTGCAACACAGTTGCAGTATCAACAATCTTTCTTTCCACGAACAATAATAGCATGGAACAACCTGAACGATGCAACTGTGAACTCGACATCAGTCGAAAGCTTCAAGGCTGCCCTCGCATCAGTCAGGAGCTATTAGAATAGCAACATCATACCCTCAACCGTTGCAAAAAATGTCAGTGCATGGATGCAGCAACGAAACATTACCAGAAACAGAACAGAACCAGAACATGAGTCACGACATGACATGAGTCGCGACATGACATGAGTCTAGCCATGAGATGAGTCTAGCCATGACATGAGTCTAGCCATGACATGAGTATTGTCGTGACATGAGTCGTGACATGACATAAGTCTTGGCATGACATGGGTTTTTTTGACATGACATGAGTCGTGACATGACATTGGCTGTGACATGACTAAGACCCATTAGAAACCTTGCAGGGTTCAGCCAAATACCCCCTACTTGTTTTGTCTATAAACCTTGTCACGCCTGACAAAGTATCCTTTTCCAATGTTCTTTGTTGTTTGTTTTTTGTTGTTGTTGTTGTTTTCATTAAATAAATGTAGAAATATGAGTTTAAGAAATCACCAACAAGGTTGATCAGTGAAGCAGTAGAAATGAAAAAGAGGGGGGTGTGCCTTTGGGGCGGGGGGGGGGGGGGGGGGGGGGGAGGCAGATGTCCATGCGCGCCAGATTAGTTCAGAAATGTAACTCTGTAAGGTTTTCATTTAATGGCGGAAATCTATTAATTGAACATCCGGGCATTAAGTCTGGCCAATCTCATTAAAATATTAATAAAATATCCTGGTACTCCGTTTGGCCAATATCTCAACAGCTGTTCGGTAATTCTACTTTGACGTCAGCCTTAACCTAGGCAGGAACGTGCTCACAACATTATATTACGTACACTTTGCTAAATAAATACTGTCACTGCTATGTTTAAGCGGAAATACATGTTAAGAAACTATAATTTACGAAAACATTGCCTAAAAATAGTAAAATTACGTAATGCCACGTGACGTTTTCTTATGGTCTTAGAAATTACAAACCCCATTTTGTGGTAAAAAGTTTGCGAGGATTATAAGAAGGCTTGAGTGCACACTTTCCATGAAGGGACTTTCGCCCAGAGAACACCTTATTAAACCACGATTATCGATTCCCAGTAATTATGATAAAATCATTTTAAATAATGACTTATATGGCGAAGAGAATTTTCCGCGGACGCCGAAATTTTAGACATTTTTTGTGTCTTCAAAAAATTGAAAAGTTTTCTCTATCTAAAAGTCGCTTTACCAAAATTCTCTGAATACAAGAAATTAGAATAATTCTTTGGGAGGTCTAAAATGGTTTCATCATAGAAAGCTCTGGTACAATTATCCTGGCTAATCTTGAGTTTAGATGTAATAAATTTTGTCGCAGACCGGCAGGAAATTCAGGTAAAAAAAGGGGGGGGGGGCCGAATGTGGCCCACGGACCAGGGGTTGAATACGTCTTATACATTTCATGATTTTATTGTATACCTCAGATAATTTCGATGCTAGACTATACGTGTTGTGTTTTTAGATTCGATGCTAGACTACCTGACAGAAGTGTGTCACAAACCTGATCCACCTGACAGAAGTGTGTCACAAACCTGATCTACCGTGACAGAAGTGTATCACAAACCTGATCCACCGTGACAGTAGTGTATCGCAAACCTGATCAATCGTGACAGAAGTGTATCACAAACCTGATCCACCGTGACAGAAGTGTATCACAAACCTGATCCACCGTGACAGAAGTGTATCACAAACCTGATCCACCGTGACATAAGTGTATCACAAACCTGATCAAGCGGGACAGAAGTGTATCACAAACCTGATTCACCTGACAGAAGTGTGTCACAAACCTGATCCACCTGACAGAAAAGTGTGTCACAAACCTGATCCACCTGACAGAAGTGTATCACAAACCTGATCCACCTGACAGAAAAGTGTGTCACAAACCTGATCCACCTGACAGAAAAGTGTGTCACAAACCTGATCCACCTGACAGAAGTGTGTCACAAACCTGATCCACCTGAAAGAAGTGTGTCACAAACCTGATCCACCTGACAGAAGTGTATCATAAACCTGATCCACCTGACAGAAGTGTGTCACAAACTTGATCCACCGTGACAGAAGTGTATCACAAACCTGATCAATCGTGACAGAAGTGTATCACAAACCTGATCCACCTGAAAGAAGTGTATCATAAACCTGATCCACCTGACAGAAGTGTGTCACAAACCTGATCCACTGTTACAGAAGTGTGTCACAAACCTGATCCACCGTGACAGAAGTGTGTCACAAACCTGATCCACCTGAAAGAAGTGTATCACAAACCTGATCCACCTGACAGAAGTGTATCACAAACCTGATCCAATGTTACAGAAGTGTGTCACAAACCTGATCCACCGTGACAGAAGTGTGTCACAAACCTGATCCACCTGAAAGAAGTGTATCACAAACCTGATCCACCGTGACAGAAGTGTATCACAAACCTGATCCACATGACAGAAGTGTATCACAAGCCTGATCCACCTGACAGGAGTGTATCACAAACCTGATCAATCTAGACAGAAGTGTGTCACTCAACTGATCCACCTGATTAAAGTGTGTCACTCAACTGATCCACCGTGACAGACGTGTGTCACACAACTGATCCACCGTGACAGAAGTGTGTCACACAACTGATCCAACCGACAGAAGTGTGTCACTCAAATGATCCAACTGACATAAGTGTGCCACATACCTGAGTCACCTGACAGTAGTGAATATGGTTCCAAATATTTCCCCTCAGTGCGAGTTGAATAATCCAATAAAGAACCCTAGGCTTGGAACAGCCAACACATTTCAAGGCCCTTGTACATTTGCCTAGATTAGCCTTGCCCTTCACCCGCTCCTGTTTTATCACCATCTGTTGTCATGTACTTTAGATTTGTCAAATTGAAATAACACTGAGCCATTGATTTATCTCATCATAAATGAGGTGCTGCGCTCTCGGTGACAAGCTCTCTGCCAGGTTGTTGCATGCACACTATGTCAATGAAACAACTCATCCGTGACTCCAAAATCACTGTTGCCCTTCGCGGGCCGGATAAAATGACGTCGCGGGCCCGGATGTGAGATCTAAGATTACATACAACCCACTTCATCGCAGATAACTGAGATCACATACCAGCCACTTCATCACAGAGACCTAAGATCACATACAACCCACTTCATCACAGAGACCTAAGATCACATACAACCCACTTCATCACAGAAACATCATATCACATACAACCCACTTCATCACAGAGACCTAAGATCACATACAACCCACTTCATCACAGAGACCTAAGATCACATACAACCCACTTCATCACAGAGACCTAAGATCACATACCACCCACTTCATCAAAGAGACCTAAGATCACATAAGACCCACTTCATCACAGATACCTAAGATCACATACAACCCACTTCATCACAGAGACCTAAGATCACATACAACCCACTTCATCACAGAGACCTAAGATCACATACAACCCACTTCATCGCAGAGACCTAAGATCACATGCAACCCACTTCATCGCAGAGACCTTAGATCACATACAACCCACTTCATCACAGACACCTAAGATCACATACAACCCACTTCATCACAGAGACCCAAGATCACATACCACCCACTTCATCACAGACACCTAAGATCACATACAACCCACTTCAACACAGAGATCTAAGATCACATACAACCCACTTCATCACAGAGACCTAAGATCACATACAACCCACTTCATCACAGAGATCTAAGATCACATACAACCCACTTCATCACAGAGACCTAAGATCACATACAACCCACTTCATCACAGAGATCTAAGATCACATACCACCAACTTCATCACAGATACCTAAGATCACATACCACCCACTTCATCACAGAGACCTAAGATCACATACAACTCACTTCATCGCAGAGACCTAAGATCACATACAACCCACTTCATCGCAGAGACCTAAGATCACATATAACCCACTTCATCACAGAGACCTAAGATCACATACAACCCACTTCATCACAGAGACCCAAGATCACATACCACCCACTTCATCACAGACACCTAAGATCACATACAACCCACTTCATCACAGAGATCTAAGATCACATACCACCCACTTCATCACAGAGACCTAAGATCACATACAACCCACTTCATCACAGAGATCACAGAGATCTAAGATCACATACCACCCACTTCATCATAGATACTCACTTCATCACAGAGACCTAAGATCACATACCACCCACTTCATCACAGAGACCTAAGATCACATACCACCCACTTCATCACAGAGACCTAAGATCACATACAACTCACTTCATCACAGAGACCTAAGATCACATACAACCCACTTCATCACAGAGACCTAAGATCACATACAACCCACTTCATCACAGAGACCTAAGATCACATACAACCCACTTCATCACAGAGACCTAAGATCACATACAACTCACTTCATCACAGAGACCCAAGATCACATACCACCCACTTCATCACAGACACCTAAGATCACATACAACCCACTTCATCACAGAGATCTAAGATCACATACAACCCACTTCATCAAAGAGACCTAAGATGACATAAGACCCACTTCATCACAGATACCTAAGATCACATACAACCCACTTCATCACAGAGACCTAAGATCACATACAACCCACTTCATCGCAGAGACCTTATATCACATACAACCCACTTCATCACAGAAACCTCAGATCACATACCACCCACTTCATCACAGATACCTGAGATCAGTTTGATCAGTACGCATTCTTTTTCTTAAGTTTAGGACCGATAGTTATGCATTTCTTTTCCACCAGTCTGAACGAATTTACCACAGTACACCCCCTCCCCCCCCCTCCCGCGCCGGCCACCAATTCTAAATGGTCACTAATTAAGTCATTACTGTCACTTTACTATAGGATTTTCTTTGTGGCTTATTTCTACGCTAGAGAAATACTTTAGATGTCTTGTGTTTTAGTTGTTATCATTGTAAAATGCTGTCTTTTTTTTTAATAAGTGTATTAATATATGAAGCTGAAATTGAATATGTAAAATGTAATTTTTAAAAATTCCATTTCTTTGGATAAATAAAGAATCTTATCTTATCTTGTATTATCTTATCTTATCTTGCACTATCTTATCTTGCATTATCCTATCTTATTAACAATTGCGCGCTGTGTAAAGGGGTCGGATGTTTGATGTGACAACGTTTATGACTTTGAATGAAATAGCAGAACGGGGTCTGTGGAGGCTTGAATTCAAGGACAGGCCAATAAGATTGGAACGTTTCGGCGTAGAGGCTTCCTCGGCGCACAGGACAAATGAAAATATCACATGGAACAGAGCACAGGAAACAGATCAAGAAATATTGGGTTGGAATAAGGGGTAGGGGGGTGCGGGATAAGACCGCTGTCACATATATTATATATTGTGACATCACTTCAGTAAACTTTTAAAAATTGTTTTTATTATTTTTTTAACAGAGGAATCGTTATAATTTAAATCTTAAAATGGTTTTTAAAATATTTTTTTAAAATAAGTTATTAGGTTCAAGAAAGAAGCACAGACATCATCGAACACGGACAGATACAAAGGCTGCCAGGAGATGAATGGCACAGAATAAGAAACTTGCATGAACTCGTGACGCTGAAACCATTGTTGCTTTAAACCAACAACAACGTTAAGAGACCGTGGCCAGGAACGGGAGTCTGAGCGTGTCTCTAGTGATGATAATGGCATATGCCTCATTCACATCCTGACACCAGCTATTTGTGTATGCATCTAATGATAATAATGGTATATGCCTCAAGCACATCCTGACACCAGCTATTTGTGTATGCATCTAATGATAATAATGGCATATGCCTCATTCACATCCTGACACCAGCTATTTGTGTATGCATCTAATGATAATAATGGCATATGCCTCAAACACATCCTGACACCAGCAATTTGTGTATGCATCTAATGATGATAATGGCATATGTCTCAAGCACATCCTGACACCAGGTACGGCATTGAAAGGTTAAAATGTCAAAGTTGATACTGTCAGTGTTGTTTGATATAACGGTGTTTTTTTTTTTTTTTTTTTTTTTGAGGAAATGAAAAAAAATATCAACAAATTTTCATGTTCATATTGTATAAAAGGATTAAAAATATTCAACTTATAAGGAATTGTTAAGAAATTGTACAATTTAAAAAAAAAAAAAATTCAAAAAATTGAGTAATATCTGAAATAGTGATTGGAGCAATGAGGAGATTCTCAGGCGGTCATTCTGTTTCATTTCGTTCGTTTTTTGTTTTTTAAAACAATTACGGAATGACCTAGATCCCCAATATAAATGGATTATATTTCAAACAATTACGGAAGGATCTACGCCCCAATAAAAATTGATTATAAAAATGTCTTTGCGAATATACACAAAAATATATATATATATATATATATATATATATATATATATTGGATGCACTGACCAAGAGTATAGGTGATGTTTTCCAGATTATTTTGGATTCCATATAGAAAATATTTGTGATACTCGTGATAGGTTTCGGATACCTTATATTACCTGGTCATTAGCCCTACACTAGTTACTACCCTGGCACTACACATTTGATCACGCCCGTGGTCCACGAAGCTGTAGTTGTGATGCTCTCGTATTTCTTCAGCACAGCGTTTCCTACACAGACTTCAGACATCGCGTTGACATTATTGTGCTGACGCAATATTGAAACTTTAAGATCATCACATCTGCACGCGCACACATACACACTCAAACAGGAATATCCTTGTTATTAAAGAGATAAGCCGCGCGGGTAAACTGACTTGAAGAGTATCATAATAACGTTTACATTAAAAAAAAAAAAAAAAAGAAATCCTAGACCACCTTACGTTTATATCCAGAAGAATGACATAGCAGCAGGCACTGGTGAGACACAGCTCTTATCTGGAGATAAAGGTCTGCTTGTTGGAACATATTGCCTTCTGACGTCTCTATGGGAGAATGTTTGAAATCTCTCAGAGAAAACTAAGGGCTCGAAAAAAAAAATAAAAAATTAAAATCCTGCATATTTTTTTTATGACTCGTGCCTATAGCGTATTCTTGCGTTGTTTAGATGTGTTAATAGCGTATTGTACTCTTGCGTTGTTTAGATGTGTTAATAGCGTATTGTATTCTTGCGTTGTTTAGATGAGTTACTAGCGTATTGTATTCTTGCGTTGTTTAGATGTGTTAATAGAGTATTGTATTCTTGCATTGTTTAGATGTGTTAATAGCGTATTGTATTCTTGCGTTGTTTAGATGTGTTAATAGAGTATTGTATTCTTGCATTGTTTAGATGTGTTAATAGCGTATTGTATTCTTGCGTTGTTTAGATGTGTTAATAGAGTATTGTATTCTTGCGTTGTTTAGATGTGTTAATAGCGTATTGTATTCTTGCGTTGTTTAGATGTGTTAATAGAGTATTGTATTCTTGCGTTGTTTAGATGTGTTAATAGCGTATTGTATTCTTGCGTTGTTTAGATGTGTTAATAGAGTATTGTATTCTTGCATTGTTTAGATGTGTTAATAGCGTATTGTATTCTTGCGTTGTTTAGATGTGTTACTAGCGTATTGTATTCTTGCGTTGTTTAGATGTGTTAATAGCGTATTCTTGCGTTCTTTAGGTGTGTCAGCCTACCGAAGTTCAACTCTGAAGTTTCTTTGTTGCTTCCCCATCCCCACACTTACCCCGTAACCCTCACCCTTGGGGAATGTAGCAGCCAGACAGCGATGCGTTGAAGTCGAAGTTCTTCGGCCTTTGAGAGGAGTCAACGCTATCCAAATGTGGCAAGTCAAATATACCAAAAATAACCCCCCCCCAAAAAAATTAAAATAAAAAAAAATGTTAAAATAAGTTTTTAAAACACACGTTTTTCTTTTTTTAAAAAATGTACTGAAAAGTATTTTTTTAAATGTCCCTAAAAACGTGTATGACGCGCCCCTTGAACCGCAACTATGTCGTATGACTGGACAAATACAATGTCGGACACTTGCTTTACGTTGACATTGCCGCTTGCAAGCAAATGCTATCTCACACACTTGTTACGGTGCAGACACGGACGGATGCGTTCTCACAACTGCCTGGCAGTGCTGTTGCAATGCCTCCCATCCGTCGTGTTCTGGACAAGATGAAATGAAACTAGCGGTACGGCTGCGTGCATGGCTTTGCGATTTACCATGAACTTTGACTTTATGGGCGCCCCACGGTTTTGGGGGTCTTTTTTGGTCTTTTTTTAGTTAAGTGACTGTAATAACTCTGATGTTTTGGGGGAACATTTCTTTGATACTTTCTAGTAATTTTTTTGGAAAACCGTGCTGTTTTAAAGTATATATATATATTAAACTGTTTTATTTCTTACCTTTTTTAGTCTTGAAAGATATAAAACAATCACGCATATAAGGAAATGATGTCGTGAAACCCCGATGGTCCTATCACTTTCCGTTCCTGAGATATCCGCAGAGGTCACTCAAGAGTCAGTGGGGGAGGGGGGGGGTGTCACTGGTGACCTACTGATCGTGAAGGGCTATATTGTCATGGGGGGGGGTGGTAAGAGTACAAAGTTTCTGCTCATTTCGAGATCAGGAAGTGGGTCAAAATTGAAAATGCGAGATTTGACCACAAACTAACTGGACGGACAGAGCAACCGGAAATTCGGTTCACAGAAAAAAAAAATTAATTAAATAATAATAATTAATTCAATAATTAAATAATAATAATTAAACAATGCATTTTTTCACCATTGTAAAAAAAAGAAAGTTCCTAACGAACTGCCCAGAGAATCGTACCGAGTACGAAACAGCACGTGTTATGTGCGCCCCGTCAAGGTGGGCGGAAAAATCGTCGAACTGGACTAAACAATCGTTAAAATATATAATAATAATTATTTTTTTGCTAATAAGAGTATAATCGCTACGAAACAATCTATGTACCAAGGAATTGAATTTATGTTCCAAATTTTAATGTGCATCAAATAGTTGGCTCAAGCTTGATAGGGCGCAATGTAAGTTGTTGTTTTGCTGTTGTTTTTTGTGTGCCCGTGGGTGCTTTTTGCCATCGGTCGGCCTTTCCCATTTTCAATAACTCAAAGAAATGTATGTGTCAACATTGTCAATAACTCAAAGAAGGACGCTATAACGCTTCCTTGACGTTTCCGCTCCAAGTAGATTATTTTTAGGCTGGGAAAGTTGAAGAGATCGTAAACTCAGGTAAAACACCATGTCACGTGGATCGTCTATTTTTAGCCGAATCCCTGTAGCGCCCCCCCCCCCCCGCCCCCCGTCTCTCATATCACGCAAGTTTGAGCGTTGAATGATGTTGTGTTAATTAGACATCACGATGTTTGACCCATCATGCCCTGGGGCTCACCATTAGACCTTGTCCAGGTGTAATCAGCCGATCATCCTTGATNGGCGGGGCCCATAAGTGTTTGACACGAGTTCAAACCTTTCTTTTCAATTGAAACTTCCAATGAGGATTTTTACCGTGGGAATATTTCTGTTTACGTTTAAACGAATGCCGCGTACTTCTTGCAAGATCCATTTGTCGGATTAGTGGACCATGCCTTGCCAGAGGTTCTGGTGGTGATGGTGGTGTTTTTGTTTTGTTTTGTTGCTTTTTGTTGTTGTTTTTGTTGTTGTTTTTGTTTAACGTAAGTTTGATAGAATGCAGCAAAACCTACAGAGAAGAAGGAGGACTCATATGCCCGCTGATGAAGATCGTGTATTTACTGAGTTTATTAAACAATAAAGGGACAGCCATACGTGTGAAGTGTATGTTGTTTTCTCTCTCATCCCCCCTCTCTATTTTAAAAAAAATATAATATCACCATATCTGTTTCTTAAAAATTTTTGACGTTGAATCGTTTTTATTTGTTGAAAAAATTAAAAAAAGTCAAACCCCACTCCCCCCCCCCCCCCCCCCCTTTTTTACTCTGCCCCCAACCGCTAAATACAATAATAGAAATAATGTCATTAAATATCCTAAAATCTTGCTTTATAGTACAGCCCTTCTATTCTATGTATGTGTTGCTTCCTGTTCGCTGACGAAGGCTTCTTGCTGTCACGTTCGCTGCTTTGTTTCGTCTACTTTTGGGTTGCTTTTTTCCTCTAATCTGTGGTTTGTATATTTATATGTCCCGTGAAATCTGTGTGGCTTAGACTTCCAGATTAAAACATAATGAGGGCGGGATGCTCAGCGTCTTGGGTGTGAAGATTTGTTTTAAAAAAAGAGTCAGAAGTAACGACGATGTAATCAAGACGGCTCAAATCTTAGTCCTGCACGGAGATGTACGGACATCTGTACATAAGGTGTGTATTTAGACTTTCGCTACATTTAGACACTGCGAATCATCACTTTCAATTCTCTTACTTTTTCATCACTAATACATTCTATCAGAGGCGTAGCGAGAGTGTTTGGCACCCGGGGACAAGATCCATTGTAAAGCGCCCCCTTTTCTAATTTTCAACTCTCAAACCCATTATTTGCATCAATAAAATAATATCAAAGCATTATTTTGGCGCCCCTAACTAGCTGGCGCCCGGGGACATCTGTCCCCATCCCCCCCCCCTTTCACCATGCCTCTGCATTCTAAAATCAACAATTAAACATGCTAACGTTAAACACTTTCAATTTAAAAACAAAACAAACAAACAAACACTGTGACACCTTTATGGTGTGACGCACTGACAAAGTATGATGCATCGACACACTCAGACACCCTGACACACCGCGACACTGTGACAACCTCGCAGTATGACGTCCTGAGAAGGCGACCCCCAAAAAATGACGAGCTGACACGCTGACACTCAGAAAGAAATGGCACACTGTCACTGACATGACCGCACTGTTGCACGCTCAGATTTTAACAATCCCCCCCCCCCCCTCCCCCCCCCCCACTCTGACCTCCTCACTGCTGGGCAGTCTCACGCCGTGACGGTATGCACTCTAAGTATTAAGACAATGACTTTGACATGACCCCACTTTTGCACGCTCAGATTTTAACAATCCCCTCCCCCCCCCCCCCCCCCCCCACTCTGACCTCCTCACTGCTGGGCAGTCTCACGCCGTGACGGTATGCACTCTAAGTATTAAGACAATGACTCTGAGAATACTGCCACGATGACCAACAGACCGGTATGTTCATGTGTGTGTGTGTGAGAGACTAGAGAGACATAGAGAGACATAGAGAGATATAGAGAGACATAGAGAGACATAGAGAGACATAGAGAGATATAGAGAGACATAGAGAGATATAGAGAGACATAGAGAGACATAGAGAGACATAGAGAGACATAGAGAGACATAGAGAGACATAGAGAGACATAGAGAGACATAGAGAGACATAGAGAGATATAGAGAGACATAGAGAGACATAGAGAGATATAGAGAGATATAGAGAGGCATAGAAAGACATAGAGAGATATAGAGAGACATAGAGAGATATAGAGAGACATAGAGAGAGGAGCGACAATGAAAGAGAGAGGTGCATGCGTATCTGCAAATAAAAATAAATACTTTAAATTTTTAAAAAAAATTAAAACACAGCGATCAATAGAAAAAAATGGTTACACACGTGTGTCTGGTTAAATAAATAAAATATGAGTGACGTAATAAACACGACACGTCTGGCTAAAGACATGAAATCCAGCATTTCTACCCGTGCACTTTAGACCAGGGGCTCTCAATCAGCTAAGGGTGCGACAAAAGCCAGAATTTTTATTGAATTTTTTTGCATTTGCATTTGCATTAGTATTTTTTATCGTTGGGGTGCTGGATAATATATTTAAAATTCTAGATAAGTTTACTGGATATGTTTTGAAAACAATAGGAGGGGGGGGGGGGCCACGGCGTTGAAAAAAAAATTCTGTGTTATCTCTTTTACATTAAAGTTTTAATTTTTTTTTGTTTTTTTTTAATAACATAAGTCTACAATCTCAATATTGACCACGCTAGTTGCCAGCAGTACAGAAATGTCCGAGGTAGAACACGATTTTGGTCAAAGGTCAGAATCGTGGGAATCAGTACTTACATGTACCTATAAATAAATAAGAGTAAAGCAAAACAAAAAGGTTGGTCCGATTTAATTATAGTCACGAGCTGCGCACGTTCCATGATGCAGGTTAACTTTTAAAAAAAATTAAAATAAATAAATAAATAA